GCTTGTGATTGAACAGCAGATCTTACGTTTTTACATCCTCTGATTCTTATTGAGGAGCCATATTAAGGCTTGATTTTTTACATAAATAAAATGAACTACCAAGCTGAGTATACTCTTGTGGAGTTGGCTGTCTGATGCTGTCAGAGATCTGAGAAGGACAAATTTTATAGTTTTTAAATCTATTAAAAAGTGACAGGTATCAGTCCATATACAGCCATACCCAAGTCTCTCTTAGCGTTGGAGGCAGAAATATCGAAGAACAGCCTCAATCTCTGCCAGGCCTGTAAGGTGAGTGCTTTCTTTCTCTCTGTGGAAGAGGGACATGGAAAAGACTGACCTTGTTTTGTCTAGGCAAAGGGGGTATAACCAATTTTCCAGTGTCTAGCAGCTTTGTCCACAGTCTGGTCCAGGTCCTGGCAGGCAGCAGGTGTCACATTTGAGCATCTCAATCAATAGTCAGCATCATCCTAATCCAGGTGCAGGAACTGGGATGCTTGGTAATCTTCTTTGGAGACTCTGAGTCAATGTCAGGATCTGGAGGTAGGTCTGATATGATAAACTTTTAAATTAACATTTTAAATGCCACATTCTGCAAGTCTCTGAAGCATTAGAGGTTTGTCTGCCTTAAGCTTAACTGTTGAAAATAAACTCATTAACTTGTATTTTAATATCTTACATTAAGTTAGCAGCTTTTATTATAAAACTAGAAATTTACATTGTCAGGTTTAGCTTAAAAAACAATGATTTTAAATTGAAGCTCTTTAAGTACAAACATTAACAATAAAAACATTTTAAAAGCATAAATATCTTATAACTTTATAAATTTAGACATTTTAAAAATTATTCTTATGAAGACATTTAAAATTCCTTAATATCTTTTTGTAATATTGAAAATTAAAATATCCTTTATGTCTTAAAATCACTATCATCTGTGTAACTGTTAAATTACAAAGCTTAGCATTCCTGTGTATGGAAGCATTAACATTTTAAATCTTAATTAAAAAACGTGTTTATAGGATGGTACCTCATAAATTTCATGTGATCACCTTCAGTAAAGATGGTGGTTTAGCTCTCTCCTCAGCTAGAGCTGACACTAGTAAGATTTCCAGAGATCTACAAGGATAACACCAACTGGAAAAGTAATACCGGAGAGACTACATTAATAGCCCCTACCTGATGATAAGGTTGATGACTACCTTATATGCTATCCTAGAACCTTCATCCAGTGACTGATGGAAGCAGAGGCAGACACTCACAGCTAAACACTGAACTGACTCCCTGGAATGCAGTGACAGAGATGGAGGAGTGATGAGCAAAGCGGTCAAGACCATGCTGGTGAAACCCACAAAGACAGCTGACTGAACAAGGGGGAACCCTTGAACCCCAGACTGATGGCTAAGAGGCCAGCGGGGGACTGATCCAGATGCCATGAATGTAGTGTCAGTGAGGAGGCCTTAGAAATCTCTGGGGCCTTGGGTAGTAGATTGGTGTTTACCATGGCGTACAAATGAACTTTGGGAGCCCATTCCACATGGAGGGATGCTCTCTGAGCCTGGACACGGGGGAAGGGCCTAGGTCCTGCCCTGGATGAAATGACAGACTCTGGATATACCCCCCAAGGAGGGCCTCACCCTCCCTGGGGAATGATGTGGGGATTGGGCCCCGGGGTGCTGGTGGAAGGACAAGGGAGGAGGGGTGGGAGAGGGAGCTGGGATTGACATTTGAAGCATGCATGTTTCTAATTTAAATAAAAACATAAAGAAAGAAAAAGAAAAAAATGGTGGTTTAGGTATCTTTTTCAACTTCAGTAAAATGGCTACCAACCAGCCATGTGGCCAGCTTGCCATGTGACTGGCTGCAAAATGGTGGTGACCTGCACCATTTCTGTTTTAGCTCTATGCTTGTTACAAAACTTAGATTATGCCAGAAAACACAGAATTTTTTTAACAAGCATACATAATTTTTTGAGAAATAAACAGAACTTTTTAAACAGAATTAACTCAATATGATTAAAATTTTAACTTACATTAACAATTTTTGAAATTTAGTATTTGCAAATATGAAAAACCACAGTAAACAGTTTACATTTTCCCTTCCCTCTTGTGGTTATGATAACTTGAAGGCAGTTCCGTTTCTGTGGAAATACCGGATCTGGCCAAATGGCTTACCTGCCCCTGTGCTGTGTACTCAGGCCGGGAGCTCTGGCAGAGGGGAAAGCTGGCAATAGCTTCTTCGCCAGTACACCATGTGTGTGGGGCAGAGACAGAGAGGGAGACCCCATCCTCACATCCTGCACACCTCAAGGCAGGCAGGCGAGGGTGGAGAGAGATGCTCAGCTGTGAGGGCTACAGCAGTTGGAGATCAGAGCAGCCACCTCACCACGTGTGTGGGGACCGGAGACCCTGCTGCAGCATGCTCTAACCCATGGCATATGGCGGGAGGGACTCCTGCTTTGCATGCCACGTGCTCAGGGCAGCAAGAGAAGACCCCTGACCCACGCAATGTGCGCGTGGGGGGGGGTAAGGACAGAGAGAGAGAGAGAGAGATATAAGATGGGCCAGGGTCTAACTGGGCTCGGCCAAGGCCCACAGTTGTAGTACCAACCTATCAGAAAAGAACCCAGCTGGAGTCCAGAGTGGCAGCTGTTCCATCGGAACTCCTAGGTGCCAGAGTCAGGACACAAAGACTTAACAACCACATAACACATTACAAACAGACTAGACTAGGGCCCTCTTACAGAATCTTGCAAGAACCTTCAGTCAGGTGGCTGGCAAAATGGGGAAAAACTCAATCCCTTAATCAAGTCCCCTTCCTACAGACTGGGCAACTCTGGCCCCTTTTCCTTGAGTCCCCTTCATTCAGACTGGGTGACTCTGGACCCTTTCCTTGAGTCGCCTCCCTCGGGTCCCCCTCGTACAGACTGGAGACTGGCTGCTACCCAAACCTCCATCCTTGATGAGGGGGTCCCCTGATTCCTTGTAGACCTACTTACAGATCTCGCTAGCATACCCAACAGAAACACAAAATCACAAACTGACACAAAACATAGTGCTCAGGCCCCGCCAAGTCTGCACAGCACTAGCAGGCTGAGGGTCACAGCAAATCAGATAACAAGCCTGCTCGCTCTCCCATCTAGCTGTAGATGAAACACACAGCCCACTCAGCCTCTCCGTGAGACCTCAGGGGACCCAATTTCAATCCATTGGGTCCTCTGAACTGCAGAATGCAGACTTCATAGAAACCAGAGGTTAAACAACCAGAAACAAAGACAAAAGTTTCAACAGCCAGAGACAGAAAGCAGAACTTGAAAGACTTTCCCAGGTGAAAACAGAAAGTTACTTGACCTGGCACCACGTGACTCAGCAAAAGGGGGTGTCATGGTGAATTCTTGGGATCCTGGGTGAAACTCCAAATATTGTGGCCCAAATTTGAACCCCAAAATCACCGAGAGGTCCATTTCGATGCAAAAGCAAATCGTCTTTTATTGTTGTTGTTTAACGAGCTAAACCCATTAGCTCAGGCCCTTCATTCCTCCACCACAGCAGATAGCTGGAGAAAGACCCTGAGAAACCTAAGGGGAGTGTCTAGGGGTATGAAACAGGCTCAGGATTGCTGCGCTTCCAGGTTTGGGGGACCTGCCCTGTGTTGATCGGTCAACTGGTTGTTATGGCCCATAGGCCTTCCCAGGGTGGTTGCTATGCTTTGCATGTTACTGTTGTGCACTTGCCTGTAAAGTACACCCAGAGCCATAAAGCACAGCCCTGCCAGCTAACTTCTGATTGGTTCCTTGCCACGAGGAGGGCATCTGACCTCCTAGTGACCAGGACAGGAGCAGCAAGGTCATGCAAGCACATGGTAGCCTGTCATGGCTGCTAAAACGGGGTGGGGATGCGGTCATTTCAATTTAAGTGTGCCACATGTATGCCTAGTACCTAGAGAGGTCAGAACAGAGGGTCAGATACTCTGGAAACAGGTTTACCGATGGTTGTGAGTCAAAATGTAGGTGCTGGGAACCAGACCCAGGTCCTCTGCAAGAGCAACAAGTGCTCTTAACCCTATATCCAGTCCCAGCCGCTGGCATATAAATTTCTAGAAGTTGTTTTTCAAACTCCAAAAACTTGACACCCCTTGCTCATATGATCCCTCCTCCCTCTCTTCAAATGAACTCCAGAGCTCAGCCCAGTGCTTAACTGTGGGTTACTGCATCTGCTTCCATCAGTTACTGGATACAGGTTCTATGATGACAATTAGGGTAGTCACTAATTTGATTATAGGGGAAGGGCAGATTGGGAAACCCACAGTGACAGCTGACCCAAGCTAGTGGGAGCTCACAGACTCTGGAAACCTGCTGGGAACTGAATTAGGCCCTCTGAATGTGGGCAACACTTATGTGGCTTGATCTGTTGGGGGTGTCCCTGGGAATGAGATCAGAACCTATCCTCTGTGCATGAACTGGCTTTTTGGAGCCCATTCCCTATGGAGGGATACCTTGCTCAGCCTAGATACACTGGGGAGAGGCTTGGTCCTGCTTCAACTTGGGATGCCTGACTTTATTGACTCCCCAAGGAGAGCCTTACCCCCTCTGTGGAGTGGATGGGGGTGGGATGGGGGAGGTGGGAGAAGAGAGACAGGAGGGAGGAGGAACTGGGGTTGGTATGTAAAATGAACAATTTTAAATAAAAAGCTTCAAAAGGTTAAAAATACTTATTTTCCATTTAATGTAAGACTAGAAAGCATGCCTGTGTTGTTTTTATACCTTTGTCGGTGACTTTTAACTAACAGCTATTTCAATCCCCCCTTATGGATGTGGTTCTAGAAATCATATTGTCCCTTAAAAATTGTAATGAGTTAGCCACAAATCCCAAATTCTAATTGAAAATCAACGGTCTTCAAACTTACATGGGAAAATCACCTTCACTCACTTACAATCACATATATAGCACTTCAGTATGGAAGACATAAGTGGACCATGATCAAAATCAGGCAGGAGACCAAAAGAGTTACTGCATTTAAACTTATTTAATATCAATCTGAAACTAGTAACACAAGGATTCAGTTTTACTTAACCGTTCAATACAGTTACAAAGAAGACTGAACACTTTATGAACAAAATACAGTATCCCTTCAAGCTTTTAGGCTGTCTACCACATTAAAATTGTGTAGCAATGGCATCACAAAATTACAGGGCTATATGTAAATCTTGTGGATTTATACCTCAATTACAATCAGACTCATCTTTGATATAGAAATAGCTAATCTCATTTGACAGTTGTTTTGGTTCACTTATCTAGCCACATGGGTGTCAGACACAGGTCTTTACAAAGAACAGTGACCATTTACCTTTAAAACTCAGTATAGTAGAGAACCATACTGAAACAAATTCCCTTAGTTACTGTCCTTTTACTTTCAAATAAGCACTTCAGATATTGTAAGACAAAATTTCACTGTTTAAAATCACATCACATACACTGAAATTACAAATGAACACAGTAGGAATGTAGATATATTGTAGCATCTGACTTTACCATTACACACTGGTCAAAATACTTAAAATTTCAAGGTAGTAAATGGTTGAAAATTTTTATGACAACTTAATTTAGCATATTCATTTTATAGCAAAATATAGAGATTGGAGGCAAATGTATCATTATTATCTCTGTGTGGCTTTCTGGATGTGATAGGAACTACCTTGCTTATAATAAATTTGGGTGATCACATTAGGAGAATGATAATTCAGTCTTTGAATTTGTAATGCAAGATTTATCACTATATGTGAATAAAATCAGGAAGATGTTAAATTGTGTTGGCCAAGATACATTGTACTGAGATGTTGGAATAAAAGTACACTTTTCAAACTGAACAGTAAAATATAAATTGTTACAAGTTATGGTAATAGTCATATACAAGTGAAGTAATGTCTGACATAAAATTGTCTTGATGATTCTTTTCAATCTGAAGTGAGAGTGCCAAATACAAGATGAACTGAAAATCGTTTCACTTTAGGAGTCATGTAATAGTCTGATGAAAATAATAGATTCTGTTTAAAGCAGTATTCTATATATACCCTGTAATTATTGTGTCTGCTAATCTTTAAGGAGCCTATTCTGGAGTATAAATTTTCTGCAAACAGACTTCCACTTTATTGTCTCCCAAATTACAGATATCCAAGATACAGATGATGTGGACTCTATCCAGTTCAGCTGCTGCTTTTATAATATCACCTAAAAGTGAAAAACAGATGGTAAGTATTGTAAAATAGTTACATATTTACTTGGATTTATAATCACACAAACTGGATGATCTTTTTCTTAATGATGTCTCTAATCTTCTTGTAATTCATCATATGCATTTACCAAACTTCTCCAGATAGAATGCAATCTATCAATAGATGTATCCAATAATATTCTGACATGTCCTAGAATGTTTATTTTTCTTTCTTTTTCCTTTTTTTATTGAGTAAAGCAAATTTACATATTTTCAAGGTTACAAACATCTTAGATTTTAAAGAAGTACAAAGATTGTTTATTTTATTTTTTATTTTATATGCAATTAGTTATTATTTTAGCAAAGTCTATAATGGATAAAGCAAACCACAAATGTATCGTATATATTTTAATTTCTTTAATATGCATACTTATAGGTGAATGTGCATGTAACAGTATACTTTCAAAGTGTAGTGTTCAGAACTAAGACAGTTTTGTATACTCTCACGAACCTTTATACTAAACTGATCAGGTTAATGGAATTAATGAAAAAGGTATAGAAGGATACTCATATCTCTTTCTACCTAATCATGCACAGCATGTAAGGTGGAAAAATTCTCAGAGCCGATATATACCAAATTGCAGAACTTATATATTTATAACAATCAAGGCAAATATGTGTGAAGAAAGAAATTGCTGTGCTGTGGTTCCAGCATGCTTGGGAATTTTAAATTGTCTCCTTACCATCATTCATACTCCAGATAACTGACAACCATGAGTAGAGCATTTCATAGCCCAGTTAGAGTTTGCTAGATTAAAGGGACCAATGAAGAATGTACCCTCATTGATGCCATTGTGTTTTGCCCTGATGGTTACTTCAAAGACAGAAGAGCTTGCTTTTGTTTTACCTAGTTTGGTACATTTTCATAACTATGGTGGATTCCTAACAGATGTTTTTGTTAAAAGCAGATAATATAAAGTATTGGTGAGGGAAGCAGAGTTAGAATGAGCAATAGACTGAAAATTCAGGATAGCAAGAAATTGGGAAATGAGATACATAAGAGAACAGGTTCCTTTAAAAGATCTCATGTAAGAAGACCATGCCTACACCCAGGGTTTGTTATATGGTCTGAGAAGGCCTGAAAACGCTATCATCACCCACTTGTGGCAGACTTCAGTGCTGTGGAATAATCCTTCTGTACACTGTGAATACATATTACACTCACTGGTTAATAAATGAGCTTATTGGTCTAAGTAAAGCAGAAAAAATCATGTGAGAAAGTCAAACTGAGGATAATGGGATGAAGAAGGGCAGAGTCAGAGGAGTCGCCAGCCAGACACAGAGACAGCAGGAGATGAACATGCCATGTTAATAAAGGTATCACTTCATGGCAGAGGGTAAATAAGGAATATGGGCTAAATTAAAATGTAAGAGCTAGTTAGTAATTAGCCTGAGCTATCAGCTGAGCATTTATAATTGATATTCAGCCTCTGAGTCGGTTATTTGTGGCTAGGTAGTGGGGATAGGCAATGTCCATCTGCACTTCAGGAGGAAGTGAAGCCCAAGGCAGCATTACAAATGGCCTGGGTACACAATGAAGTATGTGGAACAGAGCTAATTTAAAATATTTGGGAGAAATATTTTTCTTTGCTTTATTCAATTTTTTGGCACTTATATTTTAAGAAAGCTGTCAAAACACTAGGCAACCACTAGTAAGCTAATGGATAACAGAGTTCAGTGACAATATGTGACCAGAACTTTAAGTATAATCAGTGAGAACTACAATTAATGTTACATGATGATTTAATCCACACAGTACGATATCATGGAATATGCTTTTCACTTCCTATGCTAGAGACACACATTGTACTAAAGTTTGGAGATTTTGGTTTTTTTGGCTTAATGAAAGCATACAAAATGCCTATGAGTATTAAATGAGCCTTAGAGGTGATGCATGGGACCTCAGGACTCAATAACTTCACAGTAGATCCTCTTCTACTAGACCCAATTAAAAAAAACTCAAAGGAAAAAAACCTTAAGGAATGATGCAAACTTGTGCAAATCTAGTAAAATACAATGGATATTACTAATAATTGCTAACACTATATAATTATCTTCTTTAGGTGTGAAGAATATTAACCAAATACTTTGAAAATTTTCAAGATCTTTATATTTGATGCTAACTGAAACAACCAAAAGATTCCATATAGTGACTTTTAAAATTGACGTATGCACCATTTATAACATAAAACTGAAGACTTCTTTCTGGCTGACTGTACTAGTTATGTTACACTTTGAGCAACTGACAATTTACTGTCCAATTTGCATATCAAGTACCTACATCATAGACTGTCTTGAGTATAAAATACATATGAAGCTCTTACAATGGTGGCCAACATACAGAAAACGCTAATACATTAGCATTATTTTTATTTAAGAAGATCCTTCTATTATAAAATTAAAATATTAATTATGTCACAGAAGTCTTAGAAAAGTGACTACAAAATTTTTACTTAATAAGATGAGCTTTTGTAAAATTGCATGAAGTCGTTAGAATTACATATTTTTAGGAAAATGTATCAAGTGAATGTGATAGAGGAACCCTCCTGTGTTCCCAGTACTTCTTACTGTTGATCACAGGGAAAGAGAAAGTACCCTGGTCTCTATGTAGTTTCCTGGTATCATGTAATAGTTCTGGCAAATGGGAACATGAGTTGGAGTGATACATTATTTCTTGTCCAAAGTAAATAAAAATGATTTTGTCTTCCATTTCTTCATTTACCTTAACAACTCACTTTCTCCTGCCAGGTTAGCAACAAGGAAATGAGCTAGGTCCAGGAGAAGGGAGCTGCTGATTGATTGCATTACACTTGATCAAGAAAGAAACTGTAACCGTGCTCAGCCACTGTGGCTTTAGAGCTGCTTTGTAACTATACCATATAATGCCATACAGTAATTCTCATCTCTTAAATCGATATGGAAAACCCTTATTATACAGAGAATAAAGTGATTTATGATCCCAACTAGTCTTAATAATAAAAACCCTGAGTCACATATTAGGGGGTGAAAGTTCAAAGATCAAAGAAGCGGAGCAGCCAGCCACTAGAGTTCTTACCACTATGAAATCTCAGACCAAAGGGGCTGGCTAGCTCTGCCCTCTGATCTCCAGGCAAGCTTTATTTGTCAGAACAAAACCAAAATATCACACAAAATAACGTGTTTTCTAAATATGTGAAAATTCTTCTTACTACACTACTGTTATGAACTGTTGCTTTATGGATGCATTAACATAATACTTTCATATATACGTATACGTATATGTATATATATGTATATATATACCCTTCCTTCTACTTCATGATTAAAATGATGTCAAGAAGGATTTCATATTAGTAAAATGTGTTGAATTATTTATAATGGCTAATTACTTGTAAAATATAAAGAGCTAGATACCTATCTCATCCTACACATGAATTAATTCTAAGAGCATTAAAAATTTAGGCTGTAAACCAGGCGGTGCTAGCCCACACCTTTAATCCCAGCATTTAGGAGGCAGAAGCAGGCGGATTTCTGTGAGTTCGAAGCCAGCCTGGTCTACAGAGCAAGTTCTAGGACAAACTCCAAAGCAATACAGAGAAACCCTGTCTTGAAAAAACAAAAAACAATCTAAACTGTAAAAACAAAGCCACATTAATGACAACTCATTCCACTAAAAATTTAAAGATGAACAAAGGACTTGAACAGAAAGTTCTCCAAAGACATACTGTGGCTTATATGTACATGAAAAGATGCTCAAATCATTAGTAATTAGGTGACATGCAGAAACAAACTCTCAAAAACACCACCTCCTATCCATTAGTACAGCTGTAAACAAAACAAGACAAAGAGCAACACAACAAAACAGGGACTTCAAGATGTCCCAAGGATAAGGACACATGGGGGAAGTCTGACCTTTTGTGTTTGATCCCTGGAATCAACAGACTTGAAGGAGAGAAACTATAATCATTATACATTGCTGGTGGGACATGTTAAATAGTGTAATTGCTATAGAAAATAGTTTGGCTGTTCCTCAAAAACTTACATATAGGACATAATATAATTCATTAATTCTATTTCTAGGTATTTATATGCACTGGAAGAACTGAAAACATGGATCCAAAAACATGCTTGTATACAAATGCTCATAGCTGGATTATTTTTAATATCCAAAGTTGCAAATAAGCTAAATTTCTAGAAATTTAACAGATGAATGGACAATCAAAATGTGATATATAATATAATATAATGAGAAGTCATTCATTCATATAGAGAAATGAAATTCTGATACATATTATAACATGGATGAACCCTGACAATGTTATGCTAAGCTAAACAAGCAAAAACCAACAGATAAAATATTGTATGATTTCACTTGAATGAAATACCTATATTAGGCAAATTCTTAGAGAAAGTAGAATAGTTACTAAGGGTTTTGGAGAAGAGGAAATGAGAAGTACTACTTAAGTTTCTGGTATTTGGTCATAATGAAAATATGTATTAAGGAAAAAGAAAACTATAAAAATACCTCCAAAACAATGGTTTGGGTATAAAACTATAAAAATACTTCCAAAACAATGGTTTAGGTATATGTATGTACAGATGTGTGCATATGTATATGGAAGCCAGCAGTCAACCTTAGGTGTCATTCCAGTGTGAGGATCTATCACTGGGGCCAGGTATTTGTGAACATTTATGCTGTCTGGCCTCCAAGCACCCAGGGATCTTCTTGTCTCTGCCTTTGTCACCAAACCCAGATTTTACATGGATGATAGGGATCCTAACTCAGGTCCTCATGCTTGTACAGCAACCACTTTACTGACTGAGCATGTCCCTGGGACAAGAGGAAATTTTTACAGCTTTGAACTTGTGATGCCTTTGAATATGACATAAAACAAGGAGCCAGAAATAAATAATGATCTAGTTGAGTACTTAAGAATAAAATTATTTAAATGCCAAAGCATACTTCCCTTTCAATAAATGTCAAAGTGTGTAAAATATTTTAGGATATAATGCAGAGTAATTTTTAATGTGAAAAGACAACCCACAAGTTAATAATAAGATAAATAATATTTATAAGAAAATGTAAAACATGCTAGCAGTTTCTAGGGAAGACAAAAATAAACAAACAAACAACTTATTTATCCATAACATGCCTGGTTGGAACCAACCTTAAACACGCTTTAACAGGGAACCATTAAAGCAGTCACACAGTAGAATACTTTTTTCTTTCTGGAAAGAATGAGGTAGCTCTAGCTATACATACAGGTATAGAAACTGTCCAAGGTGTACTGGGGGGCAATTATAAAGTCATTCCTATAAAATTCAATTTATATGCATTTATTTGATAGAAATTATAATTAGTAAACATATAGTAAATAAGTGAGAAAGGCTGGACCTGGAAATACAAGAAGGGGAACTTTTAGTTTTACACATAATTTTTCTGCAACTGTTAGAAATTTTAAATTATTAATAGAATCACATAGCTTTTGTGATTAAAAAAGTAACTTATATTGTTTAAAAGATGACACCAGGGTTATCCCATGAACCACTGTTTTAGATCACCAAGCCTATTTTGATCTCTCATGCTAGAATTGTGAAAGAAATGGAAAAAGTTTGAAATCAGGCAAACTTTCAGATTCATATCCGAGCTCTGTACTTCATTCAGGCAAAATACTGAATTTCAGTGTGGCTACCTGTAAATAGGAAATAGCAGTGTTCATTTCACAGGCTCTCTATGAGGATTAGTCAAAAGGCCAGGCACAGTAATCAACACAGAATTACATCACTATCATTATTACTGTTTTATCATAAAAGATGTGATATTCCACTCACAATGAATCACTTTGCTTTTAGTTAGCACTTCACCTTTCTCCTCCAGTGATCTGTGTCCTTCATGTCCAAATATTAACTACATAGCAGACTGGTACCAGGTACGCTTCATGTGACCATGCTAATAATGACTGGAAGAATACTGGCACTAGCAATGAGCAGATAAGTGGGAACTCTGACCTACAATTTGTGTATCAAGACCTGTATATGTATATATCAGAAAACATGTGACAGAGTAGATATGAAAGAGTATGAATACAATTGTTAGGAAAGCCCAAGAGGTTGTGATACAGGAAATGATACTACAAGTTAAACTAGGAAAAAAATCCTGAATCTCATAAATTTAGATACTCAACTCAGTTTGCACAACCAGTAATGTCAATTTATGTCAACATCAGATAGAGTTCATAAGACATGCTCCAAATCAACATAGACTCCAGAGTTTCATCAGGTTGGAGAGATCTAACAGAAACTTGTAATAAATGGCTTTCTTAAATGCTCTTTCAAATGCATTATCTTGTTGAGCTCAATGAAAATGAAATGTGCTCAAGAAATAGAAAGAACACCAGAATGAACACGACAACTATAATTGCAGAGCTAAGTTTATAAGTACAGAATGGAAAACTTGGTACTATATGAAGCAACATAAATAGCTGAAAAGTTTCACTATTGGGATAATATAGTCTTAGAAGTCCTGAAGGAGTGGAATGAATAGCAGTTGAATAACCAAACATTTATGAGAAAACAATTATACTGTAGTACATTACTAACATACTATAATTTGAGGCAATTATACAGCAAAAGTATAGAGGACAAAAGGGAAGTTTTACACTATTTTATGTGCATACCCCGTCAGACTGATGAAATAATTATAATGGTAAAAATGTTTTTTATTGCTCACTGGAATGGAAACAAGCTATTTAATTTATTTAAATGACAAACTCACACTTAAGTCTTAAGGGGACACTTAGCAGATGAGTAAGGCTACAGTGGTTTAAATAATAAAAATTCTGCCATTGAGAAAAGGTCAGGATCATTTATAGTATTTTTTTCTGAACAAAAACAATACTCACCTGCAATTTGCTTGGGATCTGGCAATTTTCCACTTCCAGGTGCTTCTGATGGGTGCACACAACTGTAATTCATGCAGGTGAAAAGCGTGTCTATTTGAGATGTCTGGACATCTTCCGGAGAATACATAGGTAGGAATGCAACATCAATTGCAATCTCATGATTCAAACCTGTGAGTGAAAGATCACATGTTATTAATGTTCAAGCGGCTTAGAATATTTTGCTACTTTCAGTTTCCTGGTTTGATCCTAATGTGTACCTGATAGTTTAAGATCTTTAAAATCTGTTTACACACCGGGAACTAAACTCAAATAGATTTTGACAGGCTGTACCTTCTCACCAAGGTTGTTGTCTGACAATCAGAAGACCCATTTACATATCTTAGCTCTATACATTTTATCTCTGTATTAAGTTAAACCATTAAAGAGCAGAATTTATGGGTTATAAAGTAACATGTTAAAATGTACTATTTTGCGAAATTTATTTAGATATGCCTTATTGTTATAGGTGGTTATATAAATTAGAAGGTTATGGTAGGAATCAAGTATCTCAGAATATCCTTGCAAATCAAAACTAGTTGAAGACAAAAGCTCATTTGTAACTATGTTAATAATATAATAACTTTACATGGAAAATTTATACTTAAATTTTGTTTGAATTAAAAAATATTATTCCAATATTTAATATTTGTTTTCCCTGGAACAAAAGTGGTTGAGATTGAGGAAGTCTGAGTTTTTAATCATGGCCTGCTTTCTGCCCAGCCCGAGTGTGAGACTTGAAGCCATACAAGTTTTATTTAGCTCTTAAGTTGAATATGCAATCAAGTAAATAAAGAATGTCCTTTCTCCATGCCAGAAAGTTCAGGAAAAAATTACTGCCAAATGGTAATGAATTGGTTATCTTTATGAAGCCAGTGACACCTACATTCTTTTTTTTTTTTTTTGGTTTTTACGAGACAGGGTTTCTCTGCATTGTTTTGGAGGCTGTCAGTCCAGCCTGGCCGCGAACTCACAGAGATCCGCCTGCCTCTGCCTCCCGAGTGCGACACCTACATTCTTTACGAAGCTAGTGACACCTACATTCTATCCTTCCTTTAAAATTATTAAATGCCTCATCTTTCATCTCTAAATCATCCTTGAAAAGAGGTAAGATAACATTTATATAAAAATACAATACTTCTAACATCGACTCAATCTGGTGAGCAGAATGACAAATTTGTGTTCTTTATACCCTATTCTTGCTTTTAGCTGACTCACAGCCAAAGCTAATAAAAAGTGACAATTACCTATGAGTCAGCTGAGACTTACAGTCAATCTGCTTTAATCAATCTGTTGCATGTTAAAGGAGGAAAAAACATTCAGTCTCTGTGTTTCTTTATGACTCTTTGTTTCTGTTGTTACTTTATGTGACATATGGGAAATCTTGGCCTGAGCTTTGTTTCCTAGGTACTGAACTAAGTTTGATAAAGTACCTGACGATATCAAGCACCAGAGTCTAGTGAAGACCATCTGAAAAGTTAGATCTCTCATTATCCATCAATATTTATACCTTGTACTCCAATTATGCATATTTACATGTGAGGAAACAGAAAAGAAGGGGCAGAAGGGAATAATGGTGAAAAATAACACTGGTGAAAGTTAGGGCCCTTAGCACTAATACTATAAGTGGAAAGATCAACAAAGAGTAGTCCTATCCATCACGGGTAAAGGAAAGCTCTGTTAGTTCTCATTCTCATATCTCCCCAAATTTCTAAGGACTTGCTAGTGTTGAGAAGCCAACAATCTGAGCTTAATTTCAGAATTAGCACTTCTCCCATTTAGTTTGAGCCAAACAGACTCCCCCCTTGGACTTCTGTATGGGAGAGGGTGCTTAAATTTTAAGTTTAACCTCTATCTATATTTAATAAATGCATATAAATTATAAATAAATAGGTAAGTAAATACATTAAATTAATAGTATTCAAGAATAATAGAAGAGCAGTCCACCTACCTAGGATGGTTACTTCAAAATGTCCAAGGCTTCGGGCGCTCTGAAATTCATCAAGTTTGGGTGGCTTTTCTTCAGGAGGTATATATTTTGATGGTTGAGTATTATACTGCTTGGCAAGAAACTTTCCATACTCCAAAACAAATTTCCGTGGAATACTTTCAGGATAAACATGACTGTAATGTAGGTGGTCTCTCAAGCTAAACTTACTATCTTTCCACAGCTGACTCTCCCATCTATCATATGCTGATCTTCTGGACTTCCCTGTGGAACTAGCACTTGAACTTTCTTGGCCTGTTCAAAACACAATGAGACAGGCACAATGGGCCGTTAAACTAGATACATCGAGGCATTCACTATATTAAAGAATACAGATTAATGAGGAAAGAGTTAAGTAGCTTTAAAATGAAAACTGACTATCTAAAAGATAATTCTTATTAAAGTTAGGAAAGATGAGTCTGGAGTGATGGCTCAGTAGAGCAGATGACCTGGGTTCAATTCCCAGCACTCACATAGTGGCTTACAACTGTTCATAACTCCAGTTCCTGGGATCCAGCACCCTCTTCTGACCTATGCAAGCACCAGGCACATGTGTGTTGCAAATGAAATACATGCAGGTAAAACACCCATATACATAAAATATACACATCTTTTAAAAATGTACAAAAGTTTGAAAACATGTTCAGAAAGAATTAAATTTGTTTTCTAAATAAAGTTTTCTCCAAAATAATGATTGATGCAGTTTTCTCATTTGTTGGCATTATGGACATTTTAATCATCTTCTTTATGGTATTTCTATATTTTCCAAATTCTCTTGAATAAACATGTTCCCTTTATTTTATGTAATGCAACCATAGAGAAATTAAATTCATTGCAATGGTAATATTCATTCATTCATTCGTTTGTGTCAATAGCTTCAACTGTCAAGTTGATATAGCCCAGCATCATTTGAGGGCATCTCAAGTTGACTGCCCAGATCAAACTGCTCTGTAGCCATGTCTGTGAGAAATTACCATAGCTAACAATCGATATGCGATTATTCAGGCCACTGTAGCTATCACTGTAGCCTGATGCCACTCCTGGGCTGTAAGATAGCTTAGCAAGATCCAAAGCAGCATTCCTTCATGCTCTCTGCTTCAGTTCCTGCTTTCTGGTTCCTGCCTTGAGTTCCTGTGTTTGGCTTCCCTCCATGATAGACTCTCACATGTAAGCCAAATAAATCCTTTTGTTACCTAAGTTGCTTTTGGTTAGTGTTTTATCTCAGCAACAGAGAAGCACACTAGTATAGTTTGCATTTTATAGAGTCTCACATAGTCCAGGATTAACTCAATATGCAACTGAAGCTTGCCTTGAACCGCTGATCATTCTGCCTTGGGCTCCTGAGGGCTGTGCTTGCAGGTATGTGCTACACTCAGGTAATTATGAAAATTATTCATTATTGGTAGAAATCAAACCTAAAATAAAACCGTTAATTTCTGCTACAAGTGATCTGAACAAAATGCAGTTTTTTCTCAAATAACATTTCTCCTACAAACAAATTTTACATTTAGTGTGTATGATACTCCTTCCAGATGCAAATAATATATGCTAAAGGAGGAAGAAAATAAATTGAGATCAAAGATCTCAGGACTTGGGCTGTTAAAATGGCTCTGTGGGTAAGGGTGGTTGCTGTTGAGCCGGACAACCTGAGTTCAATCCCCCAGGACTCAACATGGTGTGAAGAGACAACTCTCACAAACTGTCCTTTGACTTCTACATGTGAGCTGTTTTGTGCACACCTGCACACACACAATCAAATGTTAAAAGGAAGTCTCTATTCTTATTCTTTATTTTAATTAGTTTGTGTGTACTATATGCATGAGTGCATACAGATACATGCATATAGAGGGTTTCAGGTTGAGTATTTTCCTACATTGCTTTTCACCTATCTTTCGAGGCAGGTTCTTTAACTGAACCTGAAACTTACTGATTGTATAGGCTGGCTGGGCAGCAACCTCCAGGTATCTGCCTGCTTCTGTCTCCATGGCAGTGAAATTACAGTATGTGCTCCTTTCCTTGTCTTTTTAAGTGGGTGCTAGGGATCTGAGCTCAGCTTGTCAGACTTGCAGGGTAAGTGCTTTGTTGAATGAACCATTTCCCTAGGCTCCTATTTATTATCTATGTACAATGCAACTGGTATGTTTAGTTTCTAAAGGAGAATGTAAGTTATCCCTTACACATTATGACATATGTTCAACAATTATTGTGTACCTATTGTGCTACGGAATTTGGTACAACTAATATTTTGATTGAATAACACAACTTTGGGAGTAAAAATGCATCCATGCTAAAATCAGAACAAAAAATAGATTAAAAAATACTCTCAAGCCAGGTGATGGCCCACACCTTTAATCCCAGTACTTGGGAGGCAGAGGCAGGCGGATCTCTGTGAGTTGGAGGCAAGCCTGGTCTGGTCTATAAAGCTACATAGAGAAACGCTGTCATGAAAAACCGAAAAAATAAAGACTCCTATATTGTCAGTTCTACTAAGACAAGTTATGGGCAACTGCACTTTGAAGTTAACCAAATTTGCCAAGTTGATTCTTTGTAATGCTTGTTGTCATGCTGTTGATTCCTGTCCTAGCATAAGAAACAAGGCTTCACCATGATTAATATACCACTCTTGGCATTTCAGATTTTATTCTTTATCAAAATCCATAAACCAACCACAGTGTTTGGTTTCTTTTGTTTTCTTTTTATTTTTTTGTGACAGGGTTTCTCTGTATTGTTTTGGAGGCTGTCCTGGAACTCACTCTGTAGACCAGGCTGGCCTGGAACTCACAGAGATCTGCCTGCCTCTGCCTCCCGAGTGCTGGGATTAAAGGCATGTGACACCAACGTCTGACCCTCAGTGATTGGTTTCTTAAGAGTAGCTGAAGATCTACTGAAAAAAATTACACATTAAAAGATAGCATTAAAAGGGAAGGTATAGAAATTGAATGAATACGTCAATTAATCAGGAACCTAAAACACTGCAGTGACACAAGAGTTATTTTAAATTCAAATCAAGCTGATAAATATTCCTATGATGATGACTGATAATAAAATGGGTAAACAAATGACCCACGCATGAAAAGAAAGGAATATACTCCAATCCAAGAAAACAGGCTTAAACCGAAGACTGAGAACTGATTTCATTTTTGTAAATTTCCTATAAATAAAACCCTTTTATTTAAACTAATGAAAGTATTTGGGGCAGCAGAAAGCAGTTGAGTATAGTGGCGCAAGCCTATAATCTTAGCATTTCAAACACTGAAAGCAGAGCCATGAGAATTGTGACTTAGAGACACAGGCGGGCTGTGTTAGTGAGACACTGTATAAAAGAAAAAGATGAACAGCAGCAATAACAAGTATCTACTCAATAACTCAAACCATACTGAACATTCCCACAGCATGAACAAGTCATTCTGTATTTTAATATTTTAAAAATCAACATTGATCTTACCTTATGGAAAGAATTAAATTATTGAGCTTGTCAGGAATAAGTCATGAACACACACACAAAATGCATTATTAGAGACTATAAGGGTATATACATGCTTTATGAAAATTCCCCTAAAACCATGCTTTATATTTTTATCTTACTAATTTCAGATTAAAATCTCCTACTTTAATTACATATTTCTAACAAATGAATATGAAATAAGTAAGACAACACTGGCATACACAAGGTTGTGAATAACCACATATCCAAGGACATTGGGAAAGAGACAAAATATATTCAAACTTCATGTTTTTCTAAAAATGAGATGAGGAATCTTAAACAAGAATTCTTTTATGTTTAGTTTTAACACTACTTGAATTACCATACAAAATACACATTCGTTAATCTTATGAAAAATAGAAAGATATGTCACTAAATAAATACAAAGTTATCTGTGGGCTGGAGAGATGGTTCAGTAGCTAGGACCATGGAGTGCTCTTGAAGAGGACCCAGGTTCATTTCCCAGAACTACACAGCAGCTCAAAATTGCCTGTAATTCCAGTCCTAGGGATCCACTGCAGACATACATGCAGGCAAGCCACCCATACACACAAAATAAAAATAATTTAAAAATAGTCATCCATAGTAAGAGTGTTAGGATAGAAGAGAGGGAACATGTATGAAAATTAAAGTTCTATAAATTTGTTTTCGTTGGTATAGTTGACTTTGGAACTATGTCAAAAATAAACTAAATAATAAAACAAGTATTATTTAAATATATTTAAAGAAATCAATCCTGAGCATTAAAATAAAAAAGTAAACTTAAATATCCACCCAGTTTGTAATAGAACCATACAGAAAGGAATATTACAAGTTATCAAACTATAATAGTGGAGTACACCATAAAAACAAAAGGATCTGCAAAGAAACACAGAACGTTATTCTGAGCCTCTGAAATTTGTGGTTGGTATTATAGTTTTGATATGCCTTTTTCCCAAAGGCTCAGGTGTTGAAGGCAGTTCTATTCACTGAGAGGTGACTGAATAATGAGGGCTCAGGTCTAACCAGTGGACCTATCACTTGGTGGATTTTCAGATATGCATACCCTTGATTGCCTGAGAAGTTTCACAGGTAAGTAAACACAATGATTTGTAGTTCTTGATTTGAATGATTTTATAGGAGTTTCTGGGTCAAGAGAGCAGGGAGTCATTTTCACAGGTCACCTCAGGCTGCTCACAGGAAGAAGAAGAACAGGGCCTGGATTCTTACAGTGGAATAGGTTTCCTTTATTTTAATATTGTGTGTGAAATTTATTTGCTGACTTGGATTGAAAGTTTAAATGTGAAATAATGTTTTGTCTTAACATTACCTAAATAAATACCTAGTAATCAATAAAGTAAGCAAGCACTTTTTCTGATTCTTCACCCTGCAGATGCTTAGAAATAACAACTAGACAAGTATATATTGAAACCTATAATGCCTTGACTGTAATTGCTAACTACTATAGCTCTGTGGGGAAATGACTGATTTCAATGTCCAGGGAAAGAGTGTTGAAGAGGAGTCTGTAAACATGCTGTAAAAAAACAACATTAAAATTCTGACACTTCCCCACTACTATCATACATCAATAAACTCATATGAACAGCATTAACATAAATGAAGAATTTCTGACCCACCAAATATGGCAGACTGTTACTAGTAATGATAGTGTTAAAAAAAAAAAACAAAGGAAGCAAAACAAAACCAAAGCAACGTAAAAAATCTACCTCACAAATGGTTACTTCTGGAGGATGCTTAGGATATGAATCATTATTTTGAAAACTGACAAAGA